GAGCAAATTAATACCGCATTTGAATTTTAATGAGCATCTCCTCACTTTGGTCCACAAATAAAATAGAGTGCAGGAGTGGGGCTGGGGGGATTGGACTTGGGATGCCAGAGACGTTTTGGTTACTTAGGTTTTTAAAAATATTTTATTAGTTTCAGGTATACAACATAGTGATTTGACATTTATATACCTTACAATTTGATTATCATGTATGTAAATGTGATTATCATGACAAGTTTAGTAAATATCTGCCACCATACAAAGTTATTATATTATTGACTATATTCCCTAGCCTGTATATCCCTGTTCATTTAAACGTGGAATCTGAGAAACAGAACAAACAAACAAAAGACTCCCAGAGACAGAGAACAAACCAATGGTTGCCAGAGGTGGGGGGAGGGGGTGGACAAAAAAGGTGATGGAGATTAAGAGGTACAAAATTCCAGCTATAAAATAAAGAGATCGAGGGCGTAACATTTTAATCATACGTGGATTAAGTCCTCTGCCTACAGTCAGCGGTCTTAATCCACTGGGGAAAAATACCAATCTACCTATCCCTGTTCAGTTCTGCTTTGCTCGATCTGAGAGTAAATGGAGATGTGGGGCATCCATGTCTGTGGGGCAGAGGGAGGGGGGAGGGGCAGATCGTTCAGAGAGGAAACAGCTTTGGGAACATGTCCCTTTGGGAATATGGCCCTGGGGGGTCCATAACTGTCACGTGCCCAGCGCGCCATCATTCACGGCCATGGAGGCTCCTCGAGTCGCTACATCAGGGCGTCCACCTGTGGTGCCTGCTCACCAGTGGAGAGGCTGAGATGCTCAGCTCCTGGGACAGAAGCCAGCACCTGACAGCTGTCCCATCAGAACCCAAATGCAGCGAGAGTCCCTTCGCCTTCCTTCACTCCCTCACTCCTCCAAGGGGAGAGGAAAGGAAACAAATGGTTAACACCTATATGCACTCTGTTATATATATTATTTCATCTATTTCTTGAAAACCCCTACCAGGTAGAGATTCATAATTCCATTTATATGGAAAGGCTAACTTGCTACTAAGGTCAGGAAAGCAGCTGGAATTAGAAGTGGGTTTGTTGGGCTCTAGAGACCATGCTCATCATTAAATGAGGTTTAAATCAAGAACCTGCACTTTTGGGCCCGGCGGGAAGAGAGGGGATGAGGGTGCAGGAAAGGGAGGCACGCTTTCCTCCAAGACGCAGCCCAGCCCCGCTGCATCAGCGAGGCCCAGCCTCCCGCTCGGCCCAAGCTTTTCTGCGATGGGAGGCCTCCAGGCAGCCAAGTGTTGAAATGCACAGGGAGGGCAGCCTGCCTCCTTCTGCTTATTTAGCACTTGGCTGGCACTCCCAATCTTGTTTAACAGCTGACAAGTTGTTAGATCATAAGAGAGTAAAGACTTCTGAGTTTCTCGGTTTGCTTCTCTGCAAAATGCATAGCACAGTCTTCTCTATGTGGACTGTGAAAACTCGCCGTTATCTGTATGGAACACTTTAAGTGCATCAGAGCACTTCTTCAACAGGAATGGAAGCATTATGACCTTGCCCTGGTCAGGTTTGAGCTCCCCCTTCAAACACTAGTTCATATGGGGGTCTTTCACCCCCTGAAGCTCAACAGGCCACCAAGTCTCATTTCCAGTGAGTGTCATTGAAAAGCCAAAGCAAGCTGACTACAAACTTTTTAACATGTGCCTCTCATCTGCTCAGCAGAAATCCCTGTAACTTGTTAATAGTTCCCTTCTTCTTATTATTTTTTTGGTAGTGAAACCAATTGAGGCCTTAAATCAGTACCATTCGTTCCATCTTGGGCCATCCGAGAAAACCATTTAGAGTTGTAAAAAGTCATCTGCTCCATCCCGCACTTCCTGCTGCAGGGCGAGGGCCAGCGGCTGATGGAGCAGACCTTGAACAGGACAGTACGGGCGGCTGAACAGGGGGCCTCCTGGGAGACCACATAAACACCAGCTCAGGGAGAGCAAGCACGGGCTTTCAAAGTGAGGAGACCAGATACATAGCCCATAAAGCACAACTCTCTTTACAGCTGGAGTCAGGTTTCTCCATGTGCATCGTAGCATTTATTTCATGGGAGCTCACGGCATTTAGGGTGAAAGACAAGGAAAATGTGTAGAATGCCTCTCAGAGGAACCACACGCTGGCAGAAAACGAGCTCCCGAGCTCCCCGGGAGGACCGCAGGCAGAGCACTCAGAGGGGTGAGACGTGTGAGAGGTTCTTTCTCATCCTTCTCAGTCCTCCCCTTCCACACCCAGATTCCTGGAAAATACTTGTTAGTGGTCCTTGACACATGGGCATTAATTAAATCCTCACTCACAGATATAATTCTGAGAAAAACAGAAACTGAAGTCTGTCAGTTCAAAGCCCCACACATCACAGGTGAGAGGAATTAAGAGGTAGCCTACCTTGCCTATGGGCACAAGCTGGGTGGATGCTTGTGGACCTGGAATCAGGCTTGGTGCTCTTCCTACCATGGTCAGCTGCTGACTCAGGTCTTCCAGAGGTTTTTACAATGTTGTTCTTAGTAAGGGGTGTCCAGCCCATTACTGCATGCGGCCCAGGATGGCTATGAATGTGGCCCAACACAAAATTGTAACTTAAAATTCTTTTTTTGCTCATCGGTTTTTGTTAGTGTTTGTGTATTCATTGTGTGGCTCAAGACAACTCTTCTCCTTCCAGTGTAGCCAAGAGACACCAAAAAGTTGGGCAGCCCTTACTAAGAGTCTTTTTACCCCTCTTAAAGAAATTTGAGGCATGAACAAGAAGCAAGGAAGGAGAATTTCCCGAAATGACTCTAAAATCAGCAGCTATTTATAGCTCAATCCAGTTCTACCTTTGAAATGCATTGGGGAAATTCCTTTGACCAAGGAAGAGACATTAGTCAGGCTCTGTAAAAACTTAACTCTGAAAAAACTATCAAGAGCTAAATTTGTATTTCTACACCCAATACTACTACCATATTTGTAGATGTAGGCTGAGGCCTTTTTTTCCTGCTAAAAATTAACTTTGGCTTCTCTTTCAGGTATCTGCCTCTCTGTTTGCATATCTGGACCCTCCTCCCTGGCACATGAGGGATGGTTTCTTTGTATTCTCAATATCTGGAATCTTTCTGGTTCTCTTAACAGTTCCCTCAGTGATAAAACCTTATTCTTGTGTTTCCCCCCCTGAAAATGTCCTTTACCCTTTTATGGCAGCTCAGGCTCTAAGAGTCCCTACGTGAATTGTGGATGACCTAGAGGGCACCATGCTCCTTGGGGAATCATAGCTCGCAATAGTTCTGGGGAACTCCCACTCTTGCCCTGAAGGAGGAGCTCCACCATGGGAGGTTCCCCAGGGAAGACCAAGCAGCTACTCACTCTGGAGAATTCAAATGAAAGATCCAGCAGTCCCAGCACTTACCACTGTCTTGAACTTCCAGTGGGGAGACAGGAAGTGGATACTGTACTGTCGCTTCCTGGCCTGGGAAAGGGGATGCTTGGAGACGTCATTTTTGATCTTCTTAACCCACCTGAAGGCTGAACTAGGTTGTGTTGAACTGGCCCTTCGTCTGTTGGTTCATCAGCCACCAGTCCTGTTCTATACGCACACATCATCAGAGCAACCTTTTCCGATACAGGAACTTGATGAGTTGAAAGGGACCTAGACGTTCTCTAACCCAAAATGTGCTCCCTAGACCAGTAGCATCAGTACCACCTGAGAACTTACTGGAAATGCATATTCTCAGGCTCTGCCCCAGCCCTAGAGAATCAGAAACTCTGGGGGTGGAGTCAGCGCTCTGTGTGTTAACAAGCCCTCCAGCGATTCTCAAGCATGCTCAAGTTTAGGAATCACTACTTGGGTACTTTGAAGTAAGGAGTTTGGTTTTATCATTGGTTCTCAACTGGGGACATTATAATCACTTGGGGAATTTTAAGACAATATGGATATGGAGGTCTCATGCTCAGAAATTCTCATTTAGTTGGTCCGAGGTGGACTCCTGGGACTTCAGCAGTTGTTGAAGCTCACAGCCTGTCCTCGCTTGAAAACCACTGATCAAACTCAAGTCCTCATCTTCTAGAAAGAGACTGAAACCCCGAGGGGGAAAGGGTGTGCCTAGGGTCAGAGGGCAAGCGGGTTAGTGCAGCCAAGTTGTGAGTAGAGTGCAGATCGCTGGGCTTCATGACCCAGTTGGCTCTTGTCCTCATAAATATCCCAAACCCAAGGACCACATTTACAATTTGTTCCAGCCTCTGAGACTGGGCAGACTTTTATAAAAGGAGATTAGCAGAGCCTATGGATCATAATGATTTCGTTTTGGGTTAGTTTTGCTTTATGCTAATCTAGCTCTTGCGATTGTGCTGGTAATGCCTTTCATATGACAGAACTTTAACCCCACCCCAGCCCCCACTCCTTGGGCCCCTCTGCTCAGCCCTCCCAGGCCTCAGCCTTGACTTGGCCGCCCAGGGACCACGTTTCCTCTGCAGTTAAGGCCCTGAGACTTGATAGCCTATATTTTTTAGCTGAAAGACTAAATATGGTGAAGTAAGCAACAGTGCCAGGTTAAAATACATTAGTTAATGCATTTCTAGTCAGAATGGGAAAAGTTGAAATGTTGAGCTAGTGGATTTAATGCTCATTACCACAGATCTTACACTGAAAAGGGAAGTTGATGGCAAGAAATGGTGAGGCGCATTTTAGAAGGTTTATTTTATTTTATTTTATTTTTAAGAACAAGACTTACTAAGACTTACTTCAGAGAGAAACAAAAGAGTTTTGTGTTCTTTGCTGTCACCCTCTTTGTCCTCTCTCATGGAGTGTGTGTATGCACACACACAGGTGGAACTACTTAGCTTAAGTTTGCTGAGTTAAGAGAAAGCAATGGTTCTGTACGAATCAGCCCAGCTTGGACATCTGAGGGTACCTCCGGCGTGGCTTGCATCTGGCCCAGACAGACTTGACTTAAAAGGGCTCTGTCTCAAGGGAACTCATGTTTTGTTTTTCAGGGGGCAGCACAGGCACCTCCCCGACCACCTCCAGCACTGGCACACCATCCCCTTCAGCTTCTTCTCATCTTTTATCTCCATCCTGTTCTCCTCCAACCTTTCATCTGGCCCCCAACACTTTCAACGTGGGCTGTCGAGAGAGCCAGCTGTGTAACCTGAACCTCTCTGATTACCCACCCTGTGCCCGAAGCAACATGGCTGCCTTGCAGAGCTACCCAGGGCTGAGTGACAGTGGCTACAACAGGCTCCAGAGTGGTGCTGCTGCAGCCACTCAGCCCTCTGAAACCTTCATGCCTCAGAGGACTCCATCCCTGATCTCAGGAATACCAACTCCGCCCTCGTTGCCTAGCAACAGCAAAATGGAAGCCTACGGGGGCCAGCTGGGGTCCTTCCCCACTTCCCAGTTTCAGTATGTCATGCAGGCAGGCAATGCAGCCTCCACCTCCTCATCACCACACATGTTCGGGGGCAGCCACATGCAGCAGAGCTCCTACAATGCCTTCTCTCTCCACAACCCTTACAATCTGTACGGATACAATTTCCCCACCTCCCCTAGGCTAGCTGCAAGCCCAGAGAAACTGAGCGCCTCTCAAAGCACTTTACTCTGTTCTTCGCCTTCCAATGGGGCCTTCGGAGAGCGGCAGTACCTGCCCACGGGGATGGAGCACAGCATGCACATGATTAGCCCTTCACCCAATAACCAGCAGGCGACTAACACCTGTGATGGCCGGCAGTATGGGGCGGTCCCAGGCTCCTCCTCCCAGATGTCCGTACACATGGTTTAATGGCCAGTCCAGACACCACGGAGCCTACAGCAGCCAAGGCCCCAGAGTCTCCATGGGCAGATCCTCCTCTTTGGGAGCCCAATGGCTTTGAAACACAGGAACTGCATTTTTTGTTGTTGTTGTTGTTGTTGTTTTCTGGAGGAGAAAAGCATATACCCAAGAACAACAAGAGACATTTAAGCCACTGAAATATACTTGCGGTGGAATCATCTCCGACTCAGTGGCCATTCTCCTGCCTTCCCAAAGCTTAGTTTTATAAAGCATTGTCTACTCCAGAGTGGCCTTTGAAGAAACTGAATAATCATTTTATAATAATGTTAAGGGAGATGCTAGTATTTAGCAGCCATGAAAAGTTAGCCACACATACATACAGACCTACATGCATGCATGCATGCATGCATACACACATGTTCACACACACTCATACACACACATACATGCACACTGACTCAGAACTGGGGGAACTCTGTGGAGGGAGGCCCGGCATAGGGGCCTTCATGGAGAACGTCTGTGTACAACTCTAGATGGACCGGGCCAGCAGTAGCTGCCCGCTTTTCTCCCCTGCAGCTTACCCTGTTTCTGGAATGAACCATGTATCTTGAACCGCTTCCCATCGGTGAGGGTGGAAAGACATCGGCACTACAGCTGGACTTGGCTTCTTGAAGAAGATTGCATTTAAACTTTGGCTGTCCTCACTCAGCACGCGGGCACTGGTGTTCCAGTGGTCCCACGGAAAGGTGGGGACAGAGAGCGAGAAAGAGGAAGAATCGAAGGCGAGAGAGGTGGAGAGCAAGACTGACAGAGGCAGTGTGAGCCGCGTTGAGAGATTTAATTCACCAAGAAAGTTTGGTTTGGGTTTGTTTTTCCCCATCCCCCTACAGGTTATTGACAGAGTCATGGCGTCATTGAGGAGTAAAGGTCTCTGGGACACTGTGCACAGTCAAGGGCAATGGTGAGCGGGACCGGGCAAGGAACATGTCTTGATCCCACAGCTCTGACCCTTGTGATCCAGGAGAGGGTGCACCACATGGGAAGTGCCGATTCCAGAGCATGCAGCCTGGCAGGGAAGGGACATTGCTGGCGGGGTGGGGTGTGAAGACAGAGGAGTGATAGAACCCCGGCAGATGAAGCCAAGCGCAGAGGCGATGAATAGAGGACTGGGCTTCTGCACGTCAGATCCAGACACCTGGCCTGGATCAGCTGCCCCAATGTCCCCGTGGCAGGAGAAATCCTGTCGTGTTCCAGGGAATTGCAGATGGGCTTTCTACATCCTTCCACCTGCCCTTAGATCTCCATTTTTATCAACTAGTTCATTGCATTTTGATGTTTGGGTTTTTGCCTTCATCTCTCCCTTCCCCTTCAAATCCTTTAATGATAAGAAAAACAAGTGGCGTTTGGTGCAAGCTAAACTTTTTAAATGGTGTGGAAATGCAAATAATACCAAGTAAAATAATACAGATATTATTAAGATTTTTGGTTTTGAGGTGTTGTAGATAAGTGTATTTATGTGCCTAGTGGGGAATTCAATATTATGAATATTAAAAAAGGGGGCAATAAAAAGGGTATGTAAAATATGTATGAAGAAAAGGTGTATAAAAGTTTGCCCTTATGCACGGAACTCTGTTTCTAAGTGCCAAGCACAGAAAGCCGCTAAATAAAATCTTTGCCATTGTTTCCTGCGTGTTTGTTTATTTGGATAAAGTGAACAGCAGCCTGTGCACGCACACGGTGCTTTACGATGAGCACAGTGCTCTCATTTCCACTACTTCACATGATCTTTATTCAGACTCCATGAAGGATATATTACTGTCCTTATTTTATGAGTAATAACTGAGCTCCAGAGAGATCGAGCAAACTATCCGGAACCAGACAGCCCATCAGAGAGGGAGGTAGAACTTGAAAGCAGACCCAACTCCTTCCAGTGGGAAGTTCACCTTCAGATTAGCTGTAGAAGCCAGTGTGAGTCTAATAGTTGTCCTCATCTTGGCCGTGTGCTAGACATCACGTTACTGTCTCGTCGAATCATCTCACAATCCTGCTTGATAGGTATTATTTTCATCATTATTTTATAGGTCCGGAAATAAGCTTTAAAAAGGTTAAGTTCTTGACCAAGGCCTTCAGGTAGCAAATGACTGAGCTGGCAATTGGACTGCAATGAACACTAAGTCACTCCTCTGGAGCCCCACCATTCCCACGAGGAACAATCAGGAAGGAAGCTATTTTCAAAGGGGCTGAGCCAGGCCTGCCTCTGTGGCTGGATTTACTTGTATGTTTAATTATAGATCTATAGGCTCTCCTTTGACTGCACCGCCACAGCATGGGAGGAGTGATTTTGAGCTGTCATGTACCAAATGAGAACTTCTAGAAGACTCATAATATGCCTACGGCTCTTCCACATGCAAGCACTTTCCATATTATCTCATTTGAACCCTGCAATGACCATGGGGTATGGATAGGGCAGGAAGTATTGTTTTGTAAATGGGACACTAGAGTTAGAAAGATGGTGAAGTGCCTGTATTTAGATAGGGCGTGGCAGCGGCAGAGCCAGGACTTCAATCTCCTGTTCTTACCCCCGCCCCGGCCTGTTTCCTGGCAGACAGTTACACTGGGGGCCCACTGACCCACTTCACCAGGGCTTGATTTGGGGGCTTGAGTTGCTGACACCAGACTCGTTCACTGGGACTGAACATTGGTTTGGGGGAGCAAAAACCTTAATCATTGTTCTGGTTTTATAAATAACTTCAAGGAGTGGCATGCCAGTCAATTCCATGAGCCACCGGACCATTGCCAAAACAGCTGGGACAATGGCTGACTGAGGACCTCCGTGGTCTGTAGGCTCTCTGGGCATCATCATGGGCCTCAAAATTTAAAAAGACTCTTCTATTTGCAAATCTTTTAATCAGCCTTAGATGTTATAATGGTAGACCTAATGCATGAAGCTTACACTTATTTCTGTCTGATTTAGTAGCACACCACACACGAAATACTGTTTTCTGGTCTGTGTTTGAGGATTTGGGTAATAGATAATCATATTGTCCCAAGTAACAAATGACTTAGAAATCTCCATATTTCACTTACTAGTAAGGACAAGAATTTCAATAATTGTTTAAGAGTATTAGACACAGAAAACTTACAGAATTAGAATAATCCAAATCAGTTACATCTGAATTATGGCATATATGTCTATCTGTAACTAAGTAGTAAAAAATATTTATTTTTAATACAAATTGGATAAAGAATTGTCAAGGGTATGCTCTTGATTCTCTTAAATGTAATGGGGAAAATTCATTGTAATTGGTATACTGGCTACATACAAAGGGTTATTAGATACTATTACATACAAAGACCCATGGAAGGATTATTCCTCTATGAGTTAAGGTGCGCCACCCTCGCTCATGTTTCTTGCGGTACAGCTGCCTCATTCCACTTTGCATCCACAATGACTAGGAAAGTTCCTGGCCTATAATTGAATCTCAATACATATTATTAGTGCTGAATTTATCAACCAAACCGATTTTTCAAGGATAGTGCAAAATGGTCACATGGCTGAATTATTCACTCCAAATTAATGGGTCCTTAGTTAACAAGGATTCATTATTTTTCGTGTTGTATTCTTTAACAGATGTATGTGAATTTCATTTAGATACTAGCTTGCCAGCATCCTTACACATGTGGGAGTATTAGAAAAAATACATGTCATGGTTTCTTTCTTGAGAGGGTTCACTTCTCCACAGTCATGCACATGTGAAGAAAATGCTAGAAGGTGCTCTCTGAAAATTCAGGAGATGCTCCATGGAAGAAGGTGAGGGTGGGGTTGTTGTCACTGGGGAGGCAGAACTTGGTTGAGCTTTGAAGGATGCTCCGAATTTTTGTAGAAGTAAGGGACGATGGGCTAGGAAGGAAATAATCTTTTAGAAGTCAATAAGCTTTAGAAGAAAAATGATAGCATCTCAATTCAATCCTAGTAAGTTACTAAAATGAGACATTTAGAAGCTTCTTGCAGCCTCTAGACTAATATTCTCTTTTATGCAATACTTTTATCATTAGTGAGAGACTCATGGGCTCAGACTGACGGGCAGAGCTGTTTGGTTGATGCCAATTGTTTCAGCCCTTGCTTGGCACTTTGAGAATTTCAGACAGGCTCTGCTGTACCAGTCTGCATTTAACAAGCTAATGGGGAGCTGTCCTTCAAAGGAAACTCAGCCACAAAGATAAATTTTCACAAAGCTTATCTGCTTATCAGTTGGAGATCTGATTTCCAGAAAGGTCCATGCCTGTGACCAGCTTCACTGATTGACCTGGTTCAACTCAATAAAGAATTATTTAATGCCAACTCTGCATCAAGAACCACACTTGAATGAGTCTATAGCAGTGAACAGTCAGACATGTTCTTGTTTTTGAGGAGCTCTTGGTCTAGGGGGAGACTGATATGGAATACATTAGTCCCCCCTTATCTGTGGTTTTGCTTCCACAACTTCAGTTATCCACGGTCAACCAAGGTCTGAAAATTTGAAGTGGAACGTTCCAGAAATTAACAATTCACACGTTATACATTACACACCGTTCTGAGCACTGTGATGAACCCTCATGCTGTCGCACTCCATCTTGCCTGGGACACAAGTCATCCCTCTGCTCAGGGTCTGTACACTGTATACATGTCTCTCCAGTTAGTCACTTAGTAGCCATTCCAGTTACCACATTGATTGTTGTGGTATTGTAGTGCTTGTGTTCAACTAATCCTCATTTTACTTACTAAGGATCCCAAGAATACTGGGATCCTTCCAGTATTCCAACTTGGCATCCTTCCAGTATTCCTTCCAGCAATTCCAACATGGCAAAGAGAAACTGTAAAAGCACTCCTTTAAGTGAAAAGGTAAGTACAGCACAATTAGACACCGAGACAGACCACATCCACACAACTTTTATTATAGTATATTGTTATAATTGTTCTATTTTATTATTATTATTGTTAATCTCTTACTGTGTCCACTTTATATATTAAACTTTATAGGAAAACACATAGTACAGATGATCCCCAGCTTACAGTGTTTCAACTTACATATTTTGACTTTACGATACATACTTTGAATGTTGATATTTTCCTGGGTTATTGATAGGTGGTACAGTACTGTCTTGTGATGCAGGGCAGTGAGCTGCTTCCAGACAGCCACGAGGTTATGAGGCAAACAATTGATTCCCCAAGTGTAGTGTGTTGCCAGCATTTTTGGATATTGTGTTCTGAACTCACTTAAGGTAGCTTATAACATTTGGTAGGTTAGGTGAAGTAAATGAATTTTCTTTTCTTTTTTAAATTTTTTTAAAAAATCATGTTTATTCTATTCAGATTGTCTCATTTTTCCCCCCTTTGCCCTCCTCCATCCATCCCACCCCGACCCCCACAGTCAATTCCCATTCTGTTGTCCATGTCCATGTGTCATTCATACATGTTTTTTGTCTAGTTGCGTTCTCCTTTCCACCATTGTCCTCCTTCCCCCTCCCCTCTGGTCACTTTCAGGCTGCTCCATGTTTCCGTGCCTGTGGTTTATTTTGTTTGTTAGTTTATTTTGTTGAATAGATTCCACTTAGAGGTGAGGTCATATGCTATTTGTCTTTCACCGACTGGCTTATTTCACTTAGCATAATATTCATAAGTTCCATCCATGTCGTTGCAAAAGGTGGGAGTTCTTTCCTTCTTTTTTTCTTTTAATGCAGATTTTATTTACTTATTTATTTATTTATTTAAATGTCAAAATCCATTATAAAATATTAAAAAATTTAAATTCATTATAAAGTCTCTGCAATTAAAGGAACATGTCACCAGCACAGAAATAATCAAGTAGATCGATAAAATAATATGAGCATTCTAGAAACATGTGTCTATATCTGTCTAGCAATGTAATATATGGTTAACTTGATATTTCAGATCAGTGGGGAAAGTAAGGCTTATTCAACAAACAAAGTGCATGGACCACTATTACTTGAAATAAACAAATATAGAGCCCTATTTCACACATTATACAAAAAATATTCAGGTGAGTTAAAAATCAATACGTAGAATCTAAGGAATTTTAGGAGAAAATACAAACTAATATTTTTCTTACTCTAAAATATTCAAACCCAGAAGCTATAGAGTAAAATATTGACAATACGACTACATTAAACATTTAAGACTAGATAGTAATATACATAAAAAAAAGTTAAAGGACAAGTAATAGAATAGGGAAGTATTTGCAACACATCTAAAAAATGGATTAAATAGTTTTTTTTTGTTTTTTTAGGGAAAAAAATTCTACACACATTTAATAAAAAAATGGATAAAGAATACCAAAAAGTCATTTAAAGCTTTTTAAAAATAATAGAGATAGGCAAGAAATATACAAAAACAGGTTTAGTTTTGACAAATAATAAAGTAACACTTAAAATAACACATCATTGTTACAATCGGATTAATAAGTATTAAAAATATTGGTAATATCAAGTACTCGTGACTGTGAAAGGAACTGGATATTCATAGACTTGTTTTCTTCATCTTCTTAAAGCAGTCCCTTTAGCATATCTTGCAATGCTGGTTTGGTGGAGGTGTATTCTTTTAGCCTTCTTTTATTTGGGAAACTCCTTATTTTCCCTTCCATTTTAATTGAGAGCCTTGCTGGGTAGAGCAGTCTTGGTTGTAGGCCTTTGCTTTTGATGACTTGGAATATTTCTTGCCATTCCCTTCTGGCTTGTAGTGTTTCTGTTGAGAAGTCAGCTGCTAGCTGTTTCAGGGGCTCCCTTGTATGTCACCACCTCTTTCTCCCTTGCTTCCTTTAGGATTCTCCCTTGTTGTCTTTGATATTTGCCATTTTAATTATGATGTGCCTTGGAGTGGGCCTCATTGGGTTCCTCTTGAATGGGA